CTTCCTCCAAGTCCATGGCAAGAGAAGTTCTTGTGTCCTGGCATTCTGATAAGAGCTTACCATGACCTATTTGCTTAAAAGTTAGTTTTTAAATATAAAATTTTAGGTCACGCGTTCTTTTGAAAATCTTAAATACATTATTTTGCTTTCTTTGTGTGTTATACATTGTTATGAACATTTCTAGCTCTTTCCTATATGCCCTATGTTCTTCATAATACTTATGCTTCCTGTGTGTGTTCACTGCATGCATGCACACACACATATATACATACGAACACAGTGTTCATGTTATGTACCAAACCCAATACTGAAGCCCAGACTTTGAACCTGACTGGCCCTGGAGACACAGTCTTTAAGGTGGTGATTAGGGATGCAGGGGGTCAGGAAGGTGGGGCCCTGGTCCACTATGACAGGTGTCCTGACAAGAAGGTGTGGACACCAGTCATGCACACACAAGGAGAAGACAGCAACTGCAAGCCTAGGACAGAGCCTGGCCAGAAACCAAACCCTGCTGAGACCTTTGGATTGCCAGGTTCTACAACTGCAAGAGAGGAAATTCCTATTGTTATTTAATCTCTCAGGTATATGCTTTCCTACTGCAGCCCTGGCTAGCTCAACAGCCCAAGATTTTTTATCTTCTTTTTAAATCTTAGTAATCCCACTGTTTTGGGTTTCTCTTCTCAGGCATGTGACATATTTTTAAAATGTGGAGTCTCAGATCTTTGGCAATTCAGTAAAATATTCTTGAGTTATAGTTTTCAATATTCTGTTTTTCTTTCTTTGCTTCCCCAGTCCCCAGGAACCCCCATGCTCTGGCTCCTTTGCCTATCTTCAATAGTTATTGCTTTCTCTAACATCTTTGCAATTTGTTTCTTTGTCTCATGAATTAACTTGGACTTTTGGAGACAGTACCTCAACTCTGTATCCCAGGCCAAACTGAGACTGTATGCCAGGCTTGTCTCAAACTGATGTCAGTCCTGCTTCAGCCGCCCAAACACTGAGATTACAGACAGGTGGCACCATGCCTGCCTTACCCATTTGTGATTCTTTTTGCTTTTAAAAGCAATCATCTGTAGCACCTGGCTAGCTCACTGGTAGCCCATGAGCCTCTAAACGCTTCCCTCATTTCCACAGGTCATTAAATATCGTGAACATTGCCTCGCTGACACACCAGCAAGCGCACTGCCTCCTCAATTCTCTAAGCTGAGACCCCACTGTCTGCCCACTCCTGGTGCCCAGCTCTTCCCTGGTCTCTCTGCATTCCTATGCTTCTTTTCAAAACAAGCCTATGCCCTCCTCTGCTGGAAGCATTTTCTAAACCCACCCCTTTCCTATAGAACTAACTGGTGCCTTCACTGAACTTGCTCCACAGGGTTTCAGATGCACTCAGCCCCTTCAAGGCCACTGCCCCATGGGCAGTGCTGCAGCAAGAGGCCATCAACTCTCTGAGGTAGAGCTGCCCTAGTTATTCTGACCTTTGCAGCTTGGCACAGGAAGTTATACAGAATAAATACTCAGTGAATGTCCTAGTATGTTCCTGTTTCTGTTTGTTGTGAACCAACCTTAGATACCCAGAAGAACGTGAATGTTAAGGACACCTGGGCCATGAGAATAGTAAGAGTTAAGATCAAATTTGGGTTCAAACGATATTGTATGGTGGGCCCTGAGTGCAGTAAGTCCTTAATGAGGGCTGTGGTGGAATTTCTCATGAAAAATTATAGCATTCAAAATATTCAAATTCTTCTGTAAGATCTGATCATGTCTGAAGGCTGCTGTACAGGCCCTTCTGAATTCTGTGGCCACAAGCTGAGGTGACAGCTTTTCATCACCCTGAGAGAGATCTGTTTTGGGCCTTCCACTTCCTTCTGTGCTACTGGCCCTGTCCCACACATCATCCTCGTTTTGATTTTGGAATGAGGCTTGTGGTCTCCTGAGTCAGAACCCTTGCCCTGCCCCTGCCACCCGCAACTTCACACTCTCAGGACAGAGAGTCCTCTTTCCTCCCCTAACTGGATCCCAATAATTTAATGATTGGGTTTCACACCGCTGGCTGAGTGCCCCATCTGGCTGATAGGGGTGCTCTTGCTGTTGATCGCTGAGGTCTGGCAGCCTCCTCTTCTCTAGCTCTCCTTGGCCCAGTCAGCTGACTGGTGGAGCCCTCGCCTTTCCCCTGTGGGTTCTGGCCCAGCCCACAAGGGAGTTCCTCCCTGCCATCCCTCTCTCCTTAGCTTTGGCTGGGATCGCACTTGCTGGCCCACAGAAGAGGATATGAAGTTAACTTTCTCAGTAAATCTTCCCTCTGGACTTTTCAAGATAGAACAATCATTTGTTCCCATAGATAAGCCGTGAATCCAAATGTTTAAAAAATTGAAACCAGATTAATAAAGCCACAGCAGCTGCCAGTATCTTAGAATTCTAGGTGGAGCTTTGCCCCTGGAAGGTCTTAAGGCTTTGGGAAAATAGGAACGCCTAAGCTGGGAACTCGTACCAAATAAAATATTAGTTTAGCCTGTAGAATATGTGTGTACTCTTGTTTAGTTTCAGGTCAATAATTTTAATTACTGTCTTTCAGTTAACAGTTAAAATAGTAAAGAAAGAAAACTAGATACTGTCTTCTTGGCACAAACAAAACCTTCACAGCTTTAAGTTAGTAGAAAAAACAACAATGAGAGCAGAGAACATGTTGTAACCACAGATAGCTCTAAAATAGACTTTGTAGCCTAACATTAATTAAACCAAATAATTGCTGAGCATACAATAATTGATCAGATTATCGACTGTCTCTGTTGTTTGGATGCAGAGCTGTTTAGCATTTTCTAATCTGCACTGGGAACACCCATGAGTTGTTTGTGGGTGGATGAAACTCAGAGTAACACAGACCTCAGAGCCCTGGCTCCCTGTCCCATGAGGCTGTGTCTCCTGGCCTTGTCCCCTGGGCTGTCAGACATCAGGGCAGGTACAATGGTGATTAGTTAGATGGAGACTTGTTAGAAGTCCCAGGCTGTGGCCCCAGAAAATGGCTGTTTAGTAAGCCTCTGATTTCATGTAGGGAGGCTAGGAGCAGTGTTGGTGGCAGGATCAAGGACTGGTCAAGACACCCATAGCCTGATCCTGAAACCTGCAAGTGTGGTACCTCACTCGCAGAGAGGTGCATGGGAAAGTGGGATATCCAGATGACTTTAAAATAAAGACACTTTCCTGGATTAGCTGGTAGTCCATGTAATCATCACTTGGCTGAAGATAATAGGGGCCTGGGAATAAGAATCAAAGATTTACACATGCTTCCCTTTTTTCTTTCTTTGACTCTCATTCTAACTGTGCAGCAAATATCCTTGGTTTCCTTTGGTCCTCAGGAGGATGCTATGTCCCCGTCATGGCCTGGGTGTGGTGCAGAATGGGTACTGGCTCCTTCCCAATGACCAGCAGAACTGGGAGGCTCCAAAGTCCACAGTGCATGAGTTGCCTAGGATTAAACAAGTCGTTCCTGTGGATCCTGGTATGGTCTATGTGAGGAGGGAAAAGACCTGTTTGTCTGGTATTACTGCTGACATTGGGTAGGAAGGTCCCCAGACTAAACAAGATTGTTGTTTTCATGGGGAGTAAATGGAATATTGATTTAGTCTTCTGGGTTGTGCTAAGTCCTTATTTCCCCAGCAGCACTAGTCCATTGGCAGAGACGTCCTCTCAACTATCTTCCTAGTCTCTCCTCATTTCCTGTCCCCTAACTGGTCAATATAAACCAGTTCCTGAGTTTCTGCTACACTGAAAGACAATTCTAGTTTCTATTTTTGCATGCCCAATGAGATAAGTGGTTGGCAATGCCCCCCTTTTACACCAAGAATCTTGAGAGCAGGGAAGGTAAATCAGTTTTCCCCAGGAATTCCAACACTGAATAAAGGCTAGAATCCAGTCCTACTAATATATTCTAGTCTATTCCATGATCTCAGTCTGGCGGCGTCCACATGTTACAGCGGAGTCATTTCACATGGGGGAACTGTCCTCAGAGATGAGTCCTTGTCTACACTGTTTGTTATGAAGATACTACAAGCCCAAGATCAAGGCACCAGCAGATTCAGGCCTGCTGAGGCCTGCCAGCTTCCTGGTTCTTGGATGGTGTCTTCATGTGGTGGAAGAGGCAAAGAGCTTCTCCTTAGTCTCTTTTTAGGGCACCGATCTGTTCTTCAGGACATCATGAGCTGATCGTTTCTCCAAAATTCTACCTAACACTATTACTTTGGGAGTGATAGCTTCAAGATGTGGATTTGTGAGGGAAAATGGAGTGATCCAGATTGTAGAAGATGGGGAGGAGGATAAATGGGGTCTCTCTCACTCTCATTTGATCTACTCCTTCCAAGGAGCTTGGACTCCTGGACCATCTAGCACTTGACACCATAAACTGATTTAGATTTTAGAGGCCTTTCACATCGGGCTTCCCCCTTCACTCATTCAGGGACCAAGGAACAGAACTATAGAACCTCCATGCCATAGAATACTGTTTGGCAGTGAACAAGAATTATCCACTGACACACATGGCATGAACGAGTCATCAGAGCATCAATTACACAGTGAAGAAGGCTAATGTCACAGAGTCATACTGTACGATTCAATTGCTTATGTCTGAAATGCCAAGATTCTGGAAGTGGAACTGAGACTTCCTGAGCTGGAACAGCAGCTGACATGAGCAGTCAATCACAGCACGGATAGCTACAATGAGCCCTTCCAGGCCACTGGGATTCAGTACCTTCTCTGTTAGGTCACTCCGCAGCATGACTATAACCCAACACTGGGATGTACACAGGATGTCTGTAAGCTCCAGGCCAGTCTGAGAGACCTTCCGTCAACACCATGAAGAGTGACCAACCTGATGATGAGATGTGCAGCCTTTCCACGCTGCAGTGCAACAAGGGCACCTACAAAGTTCACTCAGAAGAACTGTGCAACTGAGTTACCCCTCAACAACTCCCCCCCAACCCCCCTCACAAAAATCTCATTAATAGTTTTAGTAAGTTTATAATTTTGTATTAGTCATATCATAGGCATCCTTAGGCAAGTTGGACACACGGGCCCTGGGTTGGACACCATTGACATAACTCAGCCCCAGTAGCTGGCTTTCCTTAGGGAACCTCGGAAGAGCCAGTTGAGGCTGAATGGTAGCCACTCAGAAGGTAAGTGCTGTCACTGTACAAAATGTTCACACTGTCTTCCTTCTCTGAAAGGCATCTCAGAGACATAAATGCATCTTAATAATGTGTGATTGTCCTTCCTATAAAGATAAAACACACTAATAAAGATCTCAGAGTCTAAGCCAGGAAAGTTAGCCTGTTTAGAACTAAAGCGATTTAAATCAATCTCCATTCTATAACTGGGAGCAAAGTGTCCTGCAGATAAAGGTTCTGTGACCTTTTGTTTTCATCATGATTATTAGTAGTACTGTATAAAGAACCCAATGGGTGTAGGCCAATACTTCTCTGAAACACAATATGAGTCGTGAGTAAGTTACACAAAAGGGTTTTTAAGATAAATGTAGGTAAAGCGCTTGCTTAGCAAGCCCTGGATTCAATCTCCAGCACCGCACGCAAGCACGCACGTACGTATGTACGTACGCACGCACTCATGCGGACACGCCCATACACACATACTGAAGATGAAAACCACAGTATAGAAGGTAACATGTGACATCTGACATCAAGCCTTAAATTGTACGTTGGTTCCTCCTCTCCGCAGCTGTCTTTCTTGAGTGTTGAGGACAGCAGCCACAGGTGTATCATTGTAGCAACTGGTAGTTTTTAAAGTCACACACCTTGTGCTGGGTGATTGAATCTAGAGAGAGAAAAAAAATCAGTTTGACAGTTAACATTGCTAGTTGCAACACAGGTCAGCCCCCAGCCCCCAGTCTCCCACCCCCAAGACAGGGTTTCTCTGTATAGCTCTGGCTATCCTGGAACTTACTCTGTAAGACCAGGCTGGATTTGAACTCAGAGATCGCCTGCTTCTGTCTCCTGAGTCCTGGGATTAAAGGCATGTGCCACCATGGCCCAGATGTAACCCTTTTTTTTAATGCTTTACAAAATGATAGTTTAAACAACTTAAATGTTTCAGAGCTGTTCACAGTCTCACTTGCCCTTATAGTACTCTGGATTTAAAAAGTAAAATGAAACAAAGTAAAAGTAATACCACTAGTTCCCCAGTCACACTGGCCTCAGATCACTCCCTTTAACAGTCCTTTGTCCTGTTAGGCTCTATCATACTAAGGACATTCCCATCGGGACAGAACATTCTGTTGGATGGAGCTGGGACGCGTGCCAGTCAACGATACCTGAACTCTAATCTCTGTGAGCTTCTTTGAATACCCACTGTTAGAAGGGAGAATATAAATATTTAATTTTGATTATGATATTAATCATGAGATCTAGACTGTCCCCGGCTGTATACTCAGTTAGGTACTCCACGTGGAGTACAGTTAGGCATAGTTCCTAAAACCCAGTTTGTGGTCCAATGAAAGCGGTTGGACTGGGGAAATGCTTCTTAGGGCTTGAAACTTCATTACTTTATGAAAGGTATAAGGTGTATCTGGTCACAGAGGCCAGCTGGTCAATGCAGTGTGCGACAATTAACCAGAATCCCTCCGCCATGGCTGCAATGTGTAATGTTCCACAGACTTGTGTTGAAAGCTTGGTCCCCAGCGGCTGCTTGGGGAAGTGCTGGAAACTTTAGGCAGTGGAGCCTTGCAGAGGAAGTAGGTGGCTGAGGTCTGTGCTGGGCTGGGTCCTGCCCTACTCCTCGCTCCCTGTGCTTCCCAGCTGCTACCCCCAATCAGGATGTTCTGTCCACCCATGGCCCCTAAACAGTAGAACCAGACAATCATGCCTCGAGATCTCTGAACTGTGGTCCATAATATATCCTTCCTCTCATGTCATTTTTCTCAGGACTTTTGTCAGAAACAAAAATATTGACTAATAGACTATCATTTTGTCAGTACTAAAAGCCTTACTGGCCACAAGTGTCTTTTTACTATTAAAAAAAAAAAAAAAAAAAAAAGGAACATAGCTGATTGTTGGAGCTCCCTGGCTGACAAGCTTAATTAGAAAGTTTACAGGCATCTCCCATTAGACAATCATGCAATTAGTTAAGACAAAAATATTTGAAGGCCTTGAAGAATGACACCTCGTGGAAGATGGATAGCAATGGTGGCTGTGTGGAACAAGGGAGAAAAGGGGGTTCATTCCAGAAATAAAAAGAGAGTAGAAGATATAATAATGCTCATCTTAGTTTTGGCTTAAGAAAATGTTCAAGAATTTAACTGTTGCCTTCCTGTACAGATATGCTTCCATATAAGACGAGGCATTGGTGAGGGATTTCCTGGGGTACTTGGAAAGAGAGGAACATACTGACTCGATTTTGATGCATATATATGCATGTGCTCATGAACACGTGTGTTTCACACTAACAGCATGGGCACACCACTTAGTTTCCTCTACAACGGTGAAGCGAGCCTCATGGTTTATACCTTCATCTGAGCTTGTTGTGAAACTGCATTAGTTTGTGCCATTTGTCTTTGCTTGTACACACCTCTGTGATGTAAATGCTACAGTCTTCTTTATGTGCTCACATTATACTGGCGTTTTGTTTAAATGTCCCTGGATTTGGAAGCACAGACGCAGATCTGCTCTCCGTACCTGGTCTATAAGGTGATTCAGCCATATTGCCATCCACTATAAGGTGATTCAGCCATATTGCCATCCACTATAAGGTGATTCAGCCATATTGCCATCCACTATAAAGTGATTCAGCCATATTGCCATCCAGGTTGCAAGAGCTCTTTGGTCCCCAGTTTTACACATGGATTTCTGACTGAGTCATTTTAAAGTCATTAAAAAAACAAAACAAACAAACAAACAAAACCCTCAACACCAACAAGCCAATAAAAGAAGATCTCTTCCTACTTAATCTGAAAATTTAATATAATCCAAAAATTTCAAGTTAAAAAAAAAAAGAAAATTAATATAGTGACTCCAAAAAAGGAGAACCAGGTGATAAAAGGGAATTGTTGTAATTACAGCATTAAAGTCCAATGAGGTTTGCACGGAACAAATAAAACACTGTAAAAAAAATGTGAGTGGAAGGGGCATTGGGCATCAGTGGAACACAGAATGGTCAGGCAGATGACAAGACCTGCTTCCCCAGTCCTGTCACATGGTGAGTAAACTGCAGACAGAGCGCAGCTCCGGACAAGAAAAACTAGCATTATCACCATCACCATTCAGCTTTTTGAGACAGGCTTTCATGTAGTCCAGGTAGTACGTGAGCTCCTAACCCTCCTGCTTCCTCTTCTCAGGTGTGTCGTCAGTACACAGCTAAGCATTTGAAGCACACGAGATGCAGGAGATGTCCTTGAAACTGAGGCAAGAGTCCTTCCTGCCCTTCTGTCTCTTTCCTGCCTTCCTTAGTTCTTTCATTCTTAAAACAAAAACTCTAGCCCTAGACCCTCCATGTTCTTTGATAGGACTTGGCATGAATCTACAGCAAGCTGCAGCTTTTTTGCCACACTTTTGTGTGGTCTCATGGTTGGTGTATGGAACCAACATGCTGCCAACATTAATGTTTTATGGTATGGAGGACAAGTCACAGTATTTAACTAAAACTTGGTAGTGACTGATGGCACTGTGCCAACTTAAGAGTACTGGGGACTAGGCTTTTTCTCTGTGTATCGAAGAAGAAAGTTCAGTGGTCACATACACAGGCTCATTCAGTTAGGCATCTCCCCTACTTCACTGTGGGATGAGTATTACCCAAGCCTCTGGGGCATATTTATGGCAAGAGCTTTGCCCCTCAATAGCAGGGGCTCAGGTTATGTCTTAGGGTGTCTTATGGTGATGAAACACCACGACTAAAGCAATGTGGGGAGGAAAGGGTTTATTTGGCTTACACTTCCACATCATTGTTAATAAATAAAGGATGTCAGGACAGAAACTCAGGCATTACAGGAACCTGGAGTCAGGAACTGATGCAGAAGCTGTGGAGGAGTGTTGCTTTATTGGTTTGCTTTTCATGGCTTGCTCAGACTGATTTTTTTTTTCTAGTACCCAGGACCACCAGCCCAGGCTGGCACTGCCCATGATGGCCTGTGCCTTCCCCCATCAATCACTAATTAAGAAAATGCCCAACAGGCTTGCCTACAGCCATATCTTAAGAAGGAATTTTGTTTACTGGGGTATCCTTTTTTTTTTTATTTTTTATTTTAGATGACTCTTGCTTGTGTCAGGCTGACATAAAAACTCCCAGCCCAATCACAAAGCACTCTTGAGTGATGGACCCAGCACTGGCCCCTGAATAACTTTCACAGGTTGGCCACAGTTCTGTCTGGAGCTGATGGAGCAGGTCTCTCCTATCGTCTGTGGTTATCCCACAGGCTTCTCTTCCACAGGCTGAGCAAAACCTTGCTCCTTCAGCACTGGTCCCCTAGCCTTGCTAGCTCTCTGCTCATAGCTCTTTTGGACTCTTTCAACTCAAGTCCAGAGATAACTATCCTTCATTTCAGCAAGAGCAGCCATCCTCTAGGCCAGCACCCTTGGCCTCCCCTCCCTTGGTTCTCTCTCCTTCCTTTTGGCCATCATAGGCTGACTGCTTCTCCTGACTGAAGCCTTGCCCTACCAGGCCAGGGCAGAGGTCTATCCTGATCCTCTTCCTTATTCTGTCCTTGGCTCCAAAGCAACTCTCAGTAAGGACCTCTCTCACCGCCACTGCATTCCTGTACCACATCTTCTTCATAGCATCTGCCACCGGTGCTGTTTAAAATCTGCTTTCTGTCTTCTTTCTTAGAGTGTAAGTCTCACACGGCTGTGCCTTTCTCTTAGCACATGAGCAGTGCAAAGTAAGTATCATTTTACTGAATGATGAATGAGACTCAATGCTGAGTGTGTGTGTGTGTGTGTGTGTGTGTGTGTGTGTGTTAGCTAACACTGACCAGCAACTTGACAGGTTGATAAATCAGCTAGGGGACAAATCGCCTGGCATATCTGTGAAGAGGTGAAGAGTGGATTAACTGAACTGGGAGGCCCTACCCTAAGTGTGAAAGGCACTGTTTCATGGGCTCAAGTCTTGGAAGGAATAGAAAGGAGAAAGTGAGCAGAGAACCAGGCCTTGCCTCTCTGATTCCTGAGAGATGTGACACGCTGCCCTGCCTTCGTGACTCCCTACCACTATGCATTCTAAACTGAGGCAGAGCAACCCTTCCCTCCTTGAGTTGCTCTGTGATATTTTGTCACAACAAAGAGACAAGTAGCTAACACAGCGTTCCTGAGGAAGAAGCTTGATCCAAGGCAGCTCCTTTCAGCTCTGACACTGCCCAGGACTACCCAAAGCCTGGCACCTCTCAGGGTGCAGTAAGCAGTCAGCCACAGGAAAGATTTTCTGCCCTGGCCTGTCATTCATAGAACTTGTATTTGCTGTCCTGGACATGGAAATAAAATGACTTATCACAAGGCCATCCCAGTGCTTCCGATCTCACTGGTGCATTTTGGGATGTTCAGCTGACCTAACTGTGGCAGCATCTTGTGCCTATCAGATATGTCTGTGTAGACAATTACCCCATGTAAAGATGTCTCCTCTCATTCTCCGTCCCTGCCCTCCCATTCTGTTTTCTTGACTGGCCTCTCCAGAATACTGCTGAAAAGGGTAGTAGCGTGGCTATGCTTCTTCTATTCACTAATATCTCATTTTAGATTTTAAACATCCATCTTGACAAAAGGAGTGATTAGGTTAAGATCAGTAGCCTTGAAAATGGGATGTATAACTATTCTTTGTTTAGTTCTGTGATCATT